ATGAAGAATAAAAATAAAATACAAAAAGTATAAAATATCAGAAAGAAAAAAAAATTCAATGAAGGAGAAAATCAGAAAAGAACTGATCAAAAAAGAACAAATTTCGAAAAAGATATAAAACAAAAATAGAAAACATAAAAAAAAAAATGAAAAACAAAAAAGTAGAAAAACTGGAAAAGAAGAAGAGAAGATGAAAAGTAGAAAATCAAAATCGAGAAAAAGAAGTGAAGGGGTTTCCTCTGAAATATCCGAAGAGGCATTTGTGACTTTTGAAGTGTATACATATATATATAGAGAGTATAATAAAGATCACAGCCCCTTCATGGGCACGTCCAAACAAGGATGGAGATATACATCGTCGCGGAAATCAATCCTCCAAAGGAATTCACAGCACGAACGTCTTTGATGGCAGTAAGAGTGATTTTCAGACTCGTAATGCTGGCTTTTGTCTCCTTTGCGGCTCATTGTCAGCTATATTTCCTTATTGGCATCTCGTCGCATTCAAAAAAAAAAAAGAATTATTCGAGTCACTCGAAAGAATTCAAAAAATTTTCAATTCAGATATTTCGATATCGAAAAGTTTTCAAAAGAATTTCAATTATTTTCTTTTTTTTTGAAAATGATGAACCCAAATTTTTTTGGGCGAATAATTTTCAAAATATCGAATAATGTGGAATAAAATAAAAAATTAATACAGAGAGAAATCTCCACGATCGATAAAATAAATAAACTTTATCTTTCATTGCAATATATACGCTTGTATACGAGAGATATAATACTTCATCCAATTTAATCCACTGGAATCATTAATTCGTATTTTTAATATCGCTCTTTTCGATGATGAAAAAGATCTTTTCACTCGGAACTGTATTTTAAATTTTTAATAAAACTTGAATGTGAAAGAGGTAATAAAAAAAATAATTCTAAATTTTTAAAATTTATTTTTAAATTAATAATATACAGCAAAACTGTATGAGGTATTAAAAAGCATTGCAGATTTTTATGTCATAAATATAATAAAAAAAAAATATAATCCATTTTTTTGGGTTAAATGCTTTTTTTTTGAATTTTATAAATATTAACGAATAAATAAAATTTAATTTCTCATTGAAATAGTTATTTTAATCTATTTTGATATTAAAATAATTAAAAAATTTAAATTCGAATTTAAAATTTAATATTCAAATAATTTCACTTAATAATAATTTTTTTTTAAAATAAATTATTATAAATTACTTACACTTCAAATAATGATACAAATTTTAAGTTAACGTAAATAAAAAACTTGTACATTTGAATTTAACAATAAAAGAGGAGTTGATACGCCTTTAACGAATTTTCTGTATGTGTATATGTGTGCCACCGCAAAGTTTTTCGTGAATTCCTTTCTTGCTGAATTCCACGCGCCACGAGACAGTAACAAAAGACTTCATCGTATGCATTGTCTCCTTGAACGTCACATTTAAATTGCAACTGTTGGAATTGTCTCAGTGTTGGTATGTGTCTGTGTGTGTGTGGTGAGACTAAGCGCGAAAGACAAGAGCGAACATAAAAATCATATAACGCGAATATTCTATGATTGCATTTAGCTTTTTAGGTCAAAAAAAAAAAAAGAAAAATGAAAGATAATGTGAAGATCCCCTCGGCGCAATGCAAAGTAATATTTCCATTTTAACAATCAGTGACAGAATTAATTCACGGATCTTCAATGGAAAAAATTTTTTTTTGTCCCCTGTTTTTTTTTGTTCCCTTTAACTTATTATGAAAAACGTGTGTGTCTGCCGATTGTATAAATTTTAGATATTATAAAGTAAATGTACAAAATTTTTATCATGAATTTAAAAAAAATCTAATGATATTCAATAATATGAGATTGATAATTAAGCTTGTCGATAATTATATATTGATGGTATTGTTACATCAATTACATTGTTAATTATATTTGCAATTAATTACTCTCTATTTGCATATATTTAAATGGAAATAAATTTAAAGAAACCTTTATTTTAATTAAACAGTTACATGAATTGAAATTAAATCCAATTAATTTAATTTTTTTTTCCACATCATATTTAACTGTCAATAAATAAAAAAAAGAAGAAACCATTGTAATTAAACAATTACATCAATTGAAATTTAATTTAATGAATTTTTAAAATTTTTTCATATTATATTTGAATATATATAAATTTAAAAAAAATTTTATTCTTATTAAACATTTACATGTGACATTAAATTCAATGAAATGTTCTCTAATATTAAACTATAAATTTTTAGTAAATTAAAATTGTTTTAAATAATATAGAAGATATCGATCTTTGTTATATAAAAATGATAAATTCTTAAATCATAAAATTATTTTAGTATTATTTTTATACAAAAATTGATTAAAATAAGATGCAACGCTTTAATCCATGAAAGATTAAAATAATCCATCAAATTTTTAAAAATCTAAAAAATTGATTATTTTTATCTTTTATGGTATTAATTTAATCTGCAATAATTTTTATTACTTCATAGTTTATTGTGTTATTATTTTCGGGACGCATGATTATCTCAAAAAAAAATTATTAGTTAGAATTTTGATTTTAAAGAATTTTTATTAGATATCTTCTATTATATTAAGTTAACAAATTTCCAAAAACGACACCGACCCCGTGACCTCGACACCGCCCTTGGAAAATCTATTTTCACTTATTTTCAAATAAATCAAAATACTTTGCCATATGCTTTTAGAAAATCTTACATACTTTTTTTTGTAACATGTTTTTTCAACTTTAACCCGAAAAAGGGTTATTTTGCATTTTCATCCCAAAAAAAGGTTTTTTTTTTCTAATTTTATGCATTTTTTTATGAATTTTTGGATATATACCTTTAAAATTACTCTATTTTTAAAAAGTTAATTATAAACAATTTTTTTCAATATTTTATGATTTTTTTTCATTATTTATTGTTGTGTTTTAAATTTTTAGTTAGGAACCTATAATATTGTGCCTAATTTTAAGTGTAATTGAAATCAATTTTAGGAGGAATTTTCATTTTTGGAATTAGAATTTGACAGAATTTCTTTGAGTTTTTACTTAACAAAATTCGTATCCACTTGTTATTGTACAAAATTATTAATACAGAAAATTAAAAAGCATTAAAATAAGCTGCAACACTTATTATTTTAATCCAATTTTGCTTATTTTAATCCATTTTGGTATTAAAATAAGCAAAATTGGATTAAAATAATAAGCGTAGCAGCTTTTTTTAATACCTTATAATTTTCTGTAAAAACGCCAAATTTTTATTTGTCCGAAATTGCAAATCTTCGAACAAATAATCGACCGAAAGCTTTCGGCGCGATTTGTAAAATTAACCAATCATTATTTTCTTTGACAATTTTTGATTGGTCAATTTTAAAAATTTCGCTGAAATCTTTCTATTGATATTCGAGCCATTTTTAATTTCGGACAAATAAAAATTCGACATTTTAATAATTCTGTAAAATAAAAATCCGTCACGTTAAATAAAAATTGAAAGAAATTTTATTCAATTCTAATTCGAAAAATGAAAATTCCTCTTAAAACTAATAAATTATAATAAAAAATTCTTTAAAATAATTCTAACTAATGATTTTTATTGAACAAAAATTATGCGTCCTATTATTTTCTTTGTTGTTAGAAGAATAAGAAGAAGAAAAAACGTGTAATTAATCCAATTATTGGGTAATACCGTTAGAAGATAATCAACTGTGTGTTGTTAACTAACTAAACTTCCTCTTGTTAGTACTTCTTGGAGGACACGAATGAGGCATAGTTTCGGTTAGATACTTGCAGTTATTCGCGGCTCATCGGAACTGTAATTAGTTTTCGTTGCCGTGTCTGTGGTATACATATATATAGGATAGGCAGTTTTAGGGTTAGGGAAAAGGAGGTGGAAAATGAAGGGAGGAAGGGAAAGCGAAAGAGATTCGAGACTCTGAAAATGGCGTTTGGATAGAGGTGGTTGTGTCGAGAGAACGATAGAGAGAGAGAGAGAAAGAGAGAATATAAGGGCGACGAGCTTGTGAAGAAAGAGAGAGAGAGAGAGAGAGAGAGAGGGATTCAGTGTTGTCGCAAACTTTATCGAATTCCGGGCTCCTCTAACTTAATCAAGTCTTAGCGCCAAGAATATTTACATTCTCAGACACGTCTATAACTATACTCCAACTAAACCATCTTCTATCTATCTTCGCTCACACAGTACTTGATTACATTACGTAAAATAATTATATCCAATCCTAAGAAATTTGCTATATATACAGTTGTTTCATAATTTTATTTTTTTTTTTCTATTTTCATTATGTTTGGAAAAAAAAAAATTTTCTTTTCAAATAAACTTTGTTCTATTTCTAAATTTAATTGCATCTTGATGGAAAAATTGTTGTTTATTATCAAAGAATTTTAAATCTCTTATAAAATTTTTATATTTTCAAATGAATCTATCTTTCTTTACAAAAAGTGTGAAAATTGAAAAAAAGAAACAAAAAAAAAAAGTTTCACGTAGTTAAAGAACTGTTTAAATTTGCTTTTCCACCTTTATTTTCTCAAGGATAATTAGCACCAATTATATTAAATATGCACTTTCGTTCCGGACTTTTTTTTTTTCATTTGCTCTCTCCCTCCCTCGTCGAAGGCTCGAAAGTTACATAATGCTCGAGTTAACATAAAATCTCCCCCCATACATACATTTCCAATGGAAAAAGTATAGAATTTTTTTTTATTTATCACAATTTACAAACGGTAAAATAACAAAAATTTTAAGCTCAAAAATAGAAAAAAATGAGAGCATTAAATAAAAAATATAAATTGCAAAAATAATGAGATTGAATAAATAATAATTTCTAAGGAAAATAATGAGATTTTTTTTATTTATTAAAAAGAATGAGGTTAAAAGTTAAGAGCACTGAGATTTCAATTGAAGGTGGTATATATATAAAAAAAAAAAAAATGATTGAATTTCTTTATTTTTTAAAGGAACCGTTAATGAAGCTGGCCTTTTTGCACTGCGAGGAAAGCAGCAGCAGCATCAGCAGCAACAACAGCAGGATGGCAGCAGACGAAATAGAAGGACAACGACCAGTACAACAACGAGCACCTCGACCTTGACGTCATTTCCAGATGATGTGGCACAGCCCGCGGCACTTTTAGCCCCCAATGAAGAATCATGGACGACGAATTCACCAACCACAAGCGACGTACTGTACCTTGCCTTGGCAACGTCCTCCAAGTCCCCCATCGAGCTCGTTGTAAAGCCACACAGCAAAGTCATTCTACCCTGTGAACTCGAAGGGAACTACTCAAAACTTGTACAGCCTGAAGCCAGGTACTGTGTCCTTGTTTGCTTTCAACATATCTGAATGAGACATCATTTTACCCAACATCCATGTGTATATATACATATATATATATATATATATACATATTCTCAAAACATGAGACTTTTCTCAACATATAGCTTAACAGATTTTCCTATATATTCTTTCGAGTTTTATTCTGATTTTATGATATATGGGTAGAATTCAAGGAACCGTATTTACGATTTAACATAATAAATATCAAAAAGTTTACATAGGAATTTATTATTTTTTATGCATTTATACTAATTTTAATGGTAAAATATTTTAATAATAATAATATTAATAATAAAACTATAATTGTAAATATATAGAATGATAAACACGAATAATTTAACTATTTCAAGTAGTAGAAGCACATTTTGGTCAGACATACTCAAATTCACGTTATCATAGCAACCGTTACGGGGGCAACAATTTCCATAGCAACTGTTACCGTATGAACTGTTACCATAGAAACGGTTACCAAGGAAACGTTTTCCATATAACTGTTAGCATATAACTGTTACCATACAACTGTTACCATAACAGCGGTTTCCGTAGCAACCGTTACCACAATAACTGTTTCCATAGCAACCATTAACATAGAAACGATTTTCATACGAGTATTACCATAGTAATATTAATAATTGTGCCACAAAAATATGAGAGAAGTAGACGCATGGCGTTGCTATTGTAACTATTGCCATAGTAACTAACTGTTGTCATAGTAACTGTTGCCAGAGTAACTTTTGCTATAGTAACTGTTGCTATAGTAACTGTTGCCAGAGTAACTTTTGCTACAGTAACATTTGCTATAGTTATTGTTTCCAGAGTAACTTTTGCCATAGTAACTAACTGTTGTCATAATAACTGTTGCCAGAGTAACTTTTGCTATAGTAACTGTTGTCATAATAACTGTTGCCAGAGTAACTTTTGTTATAGTAACTGTTGCTATAGTAACTGTTGCCAGAGTAACTTTTGCTATAGTAACTGTTGCTATAGTAACTGTTGACAGAGTAACTTTTGCCATAGTAATTAACTGTGGCCATAGTAACTGTTGCTATAGTAACTGTTTGCAGAGTAACTTTTGCCATAGTAACAGTTGCCATAGTAACTGATGCCATAATAACAGTTGCCATAGTAACTAACAGTGGCCATAATAACAGTTGCCATAGTAATTAACTGTGGCCATAGTAACAGTTGTCATAGTAACTGTTGTCAGAGTAACCTTTGCTATAGTAACTGTTGCTATAGTAACTGTTGCTATAGTAACTGTGGCCAGAGTAACTTTTGCTATAGTAACTGTTGCCAGAGTAACTTTTTCCATAGTAACTGTTTCGATAGCAACGATTTCCATAGTAACCGTTACCATGTTTCCATAGCAACTGTTACTATATGAACCATTACTATAGCAACCGAATACTATAACAACTATTTTCTTGTCAACTGTTACTATGGCATCGGTTACCGTTACCATGGTAACGTTTTGTAATTAAATTTTTTTGTTATGTAAAAAAAGCAATAGAAAAAAAATAATAAATATTTTGCATAGATGTATTAAATTTAAATAATAAAATCAAATTTTGGTGAGACAAACATTTAAATTTGTTAAAAGTTGACTTTACTAACTAGATATTTTTTTTTTTTGAACACATATTTTAAATTTTTTTAATTTTTTTTGAAAAATTTATATTTGTTGAAAAAAAAATTCAATTTGTGTTTGTGTGTGTGTGTTAAACACAATTAATGGCAATTAACGGATCAATCAATATTTGTCTGCTACTAAAAAGTGCAAATTATTTAATCGCATGTCTGACTAAAATGTGATTTCTCTACTGAAATCTAATAATTTCTGTCAATATCTATCTAGTTATAATGGATATTTCCACTTTAATTATTGAAACATTCGCATGGCTGAAATTTACCTTTTCTACTGCAAAAAAAAAAAAAAAAAAAAAAAACAGTAAAAATGAGTATGTCTGATCAAATTGTGTTTTTACTACTGTTTAATAAAAAGATAATATTGGCAAATAAATTCAATATTATTTTAAATAAGTGTGTAATGTGTTATTAAATATGTAACGAAACATGGATTTATAAATTAATTTTTCGCGATATTTGGTAGTAAAAACAAATTTTGGTTAGACAATTTTTTTGTTAATTACTTATATTTTATTATTTATATTCTTATTAATATTTTTAATATTATTATTATTATTTATATTCTTATTAATATTATTAATATTATTATTAATAATACTATTAATTAGTATTTAATATTTAAAATTTTTTTAATTTTATTTTTTTCTATTGAATAAATTATTCTCATCATAATTAAAAAATTGTTCTTTATACCAAATGTAAATAATTTAACATTCTACTGAAGTTTCTTATCTAATATATTTCTGCATTCCCTTTGAAATAAGATACTACTTGTTCACCAAAACTTATACAAAGCAAACTTTAAGGGTTTAACAAAACTCAAACTTTCTAGGGGTCCTTGATGAAGATTCTTTAGGGTATACCTATATATATATATATATATAGATATGGTGTCCTCACAAGAGACCCTACTCTAATTAGACCTCAACTTCACTTCGAAATTTGATAACGAATCGTTTCAACAATCTCATGAATTATACAAACACAAAATGAAAGTTTTTATTACAGAAAATTTTATTAATCAAAAATGTTAAATTCAGTTTAAAAACAAACATATATAATCAAAATTCGAGGAGAATATTATTTAAAAATACATACTGATGAAAATAATTTCAATACGAAAATTGAATTTTTAATTTATTTTCATAATATATATACCCAGATAACCAAGCGTACTAATCGTTATTTACGAGTACGGCGTACTAGTATTATACTAGTTTTATACAAGTACAAAATAATGATATATGTCGTACCAGTACGGTACTAGTACAATAAAAGTATGTCGTACTGTTAGAATTGTAAAATATGATTACTCGATAAAAGTATAGTACTAGTACAATACCAGTACGTCGTACTTCTGAAATAAGAAGCACAACATACTTGTACGATACAAGTATAATACTGGTACGTCGTACTGGGAGTCTTTGCTGGTAATGCCAACCCAACCTCACTTTCTTGACAATTGTCAAATATGAACGCGTCACTGAAAACGGTGCAATAAATGTTGGTGAAAAAAGTGGTTTATGATGCAGCAAAAGAGTATTAACGTTTGTAACTTGTGCTTCTGTACTTATCTTGAATATCCGAGATTAAATTTATATTAAATCATCGATCTTTATAAGATTTATATTCTTTTACTTTGACATGGTGCCGTGGTGTTATTTCATTGAAAAACATGAAAATCTTTTACATTTATAATGAGAAAAATTCATAAATTCGGTCTTGATCATATTGATATATTTTTAAATTCAATTGTGTGTTATTTCGTTATAGTTTTTCTTATACATATAACATATTTATAGGTTAGGATGTGATAATATGTTTTTCAAAGCAATTTATAACATCAAGTTTAAAATTCTTTTGAAATAATGTTTAAATGTAAAGAAATAATCAATTAATATTTGATAATATAAAACACCAGATATTTTAAGATAAGTGAGAATACAAGTTACATATATGATGTAAATAAAAAAATGATTTTCTTTTGAATAATAAATGAAAATAATGAAAATACTATTGTGGGAAGAGAAAGGGGAGGGTATATAATATTTTATATTGTACATCATACTAGTATTGTACCAGTACAATAACAGTACGTTATACTAAGTCACAAAAGTTTTCAGTACGTCGTACTCGTATAGTACTCGTATTCTACCGATATTGCATACCGGTACGCCGTACTAGTACAGTACCTGGTACCGTGCGAAGGTACATGGCTGGTACAGTACTAGTACGTCTAGTACGTCGTACTAGTATTATACTTCTACCGTACTAGTACGTGTGTTATCTGGGTATATATATATTTTGATTTTTAATTAAAATTTTGTATTTACAATTTTTTGTTGTATCTAATGTGCTAAGCATTAAAGGATTTTATTTATTCAACAATATACTTAAATATACTTTTAAATATACTTTATTTTTTAATGAATTTTTAAATATATTTTTAAATATATAATTTTGTGATTACATTGTTAAAAAAAAATCAATTCTTGTTAGAAGTTACAGGATAGAACCAGCGACTTGGCTTCATGATGATAATCCAGTGGATATGATTACTATCGACACAAGGACAGAAATGAGTGGAACGGGTCATAGATATATCGGAGACTCTTCAACCGCTGCTTTGCATATCGACAATGTCAGATTAGAAGATGATGGAATTTGGAGTTGTAGTCTTAAAGACGGCCAAGGAAAATTACTTACCGGCCGACCTGTAAAGTTAGTCGTACTCGGTGAGTAAATTTTCAAAAATTTTTACAAAAATACCAATTTTTATTTATTTATTTATTATTTAAAATTATTATTGTTTATTATTTACATGTGTAAGGTTTTGCAAAAGAAGAAAAAAAAACCCCATTTCAGTACGAATTTATTTATTATCAAACTTTTATATTAATTGCTTTTATTACCAAAAAAAAATGTTAAAATTTAATTAAACAATTGTTTCACTGAAAATCACTAAAAATTCACTGAAGTAGAAAATAATAAATGGAAGTAATAACAATAATAATTTAAAAAAAGAAATAAAATTTCAATCATTTGTAAATTAAAAGTAATATTTGATTTTAAAATGAAATTTCATTCGAAACATTTTAAAGGATTAAGGAATATTTTATTTTTTTTCTACATTTTTTTTAAACGTATTTAATTCCCGTAATTGACAACTAAAAGACGGGAATTTTAGTTTAATTCCATTAAATTGTAAATGTATAACAACTTTTTTTTTTTTTTTAAAAGGGGTTTTTAAAGTATAATTTGCAAAATGTATCGCAAATTTTCCAACAAGTATACTTAACAACATACGGTGCAAGGTTTTCGACTAAATGCAAAATTTTACAGTTTCTATCATTAACATTATCATTATTATTATTATTATTAAACTTGTGTCGACAAAGTTTAATATATTTTAGAAACTGGTCAAAGTAAGGCTCTCATGGGAATAAGGGGACGGCTCCAATGTTGCATAATGTTTCAATTTGTCGTCATACTGTGACTCGAAATCATATGCACATGTAGATATAGATATATATATATATATATATATGTGTACAGTAGAAATTCAAATGTCTTTGTCAGTTTGTCGCGTCTCGGCCAATCGTGCGACTAACTATATTCAGACATTTCAGACGCATAGTGTGACGTCAAATGTTCGTCCTGAATCCCGTGGTAATGCGGTCCTATGCATATTAATTTGCATCACACAACTATAACGTTTCTATATTGCAATTCAATGAATATTCATTGAAAAATATTTTTTAAGTATCTCTATATACATAGAAAAATGTTTCTCATATTTTTTTTTTCGTTTTGTTTGCGAAATACACGAATATTGTGACGTTTGCTTTTATCTAAATACAAAAAGCAACAAATTGATTTTTCCATATTGTTTGTACATGTAACGAAAAAGGAAAGAAAAAAAGTATCTTCTACCTTTAGCAGTAAAAATATTAAAAAAAAAAATGTCAGAGATGTGTGGAAATATTTTATTTAGTTGGAAATAATATTTTTTAATAGTGGAGAATGTGGTTTTTTTTAGAAGCAATATATTTGAATAATTTGAATTTTTATGATTTGTATAATTATGAATTTGGAACAATTTAAGTAGAAAAGGAATTTTTTAGTCAGACAAAAGTAGTTATGACACTTTTTATTTAGTAGAAAAAGCGCTCTTTAGTTAGACAAGCATATTAATGATACTTTGCATTTAATTCAGCCGAACATATCGGAAGAAACTTTGTTATAAGTAGTAAAACCACTGTTTAGTCAGACAAGTGTAGTAATAAAAAATAAAAGATACATTTTGGTCAGACAAACGTATTAAATTGATATCAGTGGAAAAAGTACTTTTTAGTCAGACAATTGTATTAATAAAACTCTAAGTAGTCAAGGTACATTTTAGTCAGACAAACGTATAAATGAATCATTTTTGTCAGTAGTAAAAGCTTTTTTAGTCAGACAATTGGATAAAAAAAATTTTGTAAGTAGAAGAGATGTATTTTAGTCAGACAGACGTAGAATTTCCATTTGTTCGTTAATTGTTGTTGCAAAACATATAGACATATATATATATATATATATATATACATATGTTTTCGACGAATTGAATCGATTGTCAGAATTGTTACAGCAAACTCAAAGGGTACTTTATGGCTAGTTATTGAGAGCATAGACCAGCATAAACTGCAAATTAACTTAGGCAGTATATATGCAATGCAGTGGCCAATAACTTGAAGTACTATAAGCGTTTCTGAGGGCACTGGCAACATGCTTGGCCAATCGCTGTTCATCCAGCACTGACAACGGCATTAGTGACCAGCATCAAAGCCCCGGCTTCAACCCATGCGGACAGTAATTATTGACGCGAACTGACCATTAGCCACTAACTACCCATTGATTAGCCCGAGACGTCTCTATAATTAATGAAAGAGTCCTGTTATTTACTGACAATGAACTTTTTCCATCTTTTATTGATCACGATAACTTTTATTTTTTTTTCCTCAAAATTTTTTTTCTTTATCTTCTATTTTAACCTATATAGAGTGAAAAATAATTTTCTTATTCAAAGAGAATTTCTCTTCAATTAGCAGCGATTTTTTTCTCTTATGCGTTTGTCTGACTTGAAATTCTATTACTACTTAAAAAAATTTATTTCGATTAAAATTATTATTACTACTTGATCAATAGGGAAATAAAATATACTTTAATTCCTGTCTGACTTGAAAGGGGTTTACTACTTAAACTTTCCGTTTTAAATTTTTATCTGACTTAAATATGTTTTACTACGTAAAGAATATTCAAAATTTAGTCTGACGAAAATTACTATTACTACTAATACTACTACTAATGGCTTAAATTAGGTACTATTACTATTACTAAAATAAAATGTATTACCTCTGTCTGACTTGATAGGGTTATACTACTTAAATCATTCGTTTTTAGCTTTTGTCTGACTTAAAAGAGAGATACTACTTAAATAATATTTTTAAACTTTTGGCTGACTTAAATATGTTTTACTACTTAAACAATATTCAAAATTTAGTCTGACGAAAATTAATATTACTACTACTAATGGCTTAAATTACTATTACTATTACTATTACTAAAATAAAATGTATTACCTCTGTCTGACTTGTAAGGGTTATACTACTTAAACCATTCGATTTAGCTTTTGTCTGACTTAAACGAGAGATACTACTTAAATAATATTTTTAAACTTTTGTCTGACATAAATCCTTATTACTACTTAAACAATATTCAAAATTTAGTCTGACGAAAATTACTATTACTACTAATACTACTACTAATGGCTTAAATTAGGTACTATTACTATTACTATTACTAAAATAAAATGTATTACCTCTGTCTGAGTTGTAATGGTTATACTACTTAAACCATTCGATTTAGCTTTTGTCTGACTCAAAAGAGAGATACTACGTAAATAATATTTTTCTAAACTTTTGTCTGACATAAATCCTTATTACTACTTAAACAATATTCGAAATACAGTTAGACCAAAATTAATATTACTACTTGAAGAATACTAAAATAAAATGTAATTTTTACCCCAGTCTGACTTGAGAGGGTTTTACTACTTAAACTATTCGTTCTAAGTTTCGCTTGATTTAAAATAGGATTCCTACTTAATACTACTGAAAATCTAGTTTGATTAAAACAATCATTACTTCTTAAATACTACTGAAAATATAGTCTGACTAAACTGCTTATTACTACTTAAACATTACTGAAACTAGCGTCTGATTAAAAAGTCTGTTACTACTTTAATACTACAAAAAAAATTTATTCTGAATTAAAAGGCCGTTAGTACTTAAACTTAATAAATATTTTTTTTTTTTTAAATAGATAAAAAGAAAATGTAATAAATTTCGATTGAACAATAAAAATAAATTTTTTGGTAGGAAAATTTACGAACGTAAGATAAAGGATTTGGTTGTGTTGGGAAAAATGTTGTTGTCAATGTGCTGATACGAGCAAGAATCCACTTGAATATTGTCTTGCCCAACGGTGTTAAATGCACTTGGACGATAACGTCGTAAAACCAAGAGAGCTTTTCGTTCGAATGACAGCCCTTCGAGTACATCAGAGAAGTACGGAAAGCTTCAGGGTTATTGACTGGCCACTCCACTTTAGCACAGTCTGCTAACGGATGGAGTACGAGAGGAATTCGCATTTTCACCATCGTGCCCATCACCGCCACGACTCCATTCTTTTGCGATCGACCAATGGAAACGAAAACGAACGAGGATCACTTGGCAACATGCGGCAAAAGCGGCTTTCGAAACGACGACTCTATCTCTCTCTCTCTCTCTCTCACTCTCTTTTTCTTTATTTCTCTTTCTCTTTTTTTTCCATTTCCCTTTCTTCAGCCATTTGTTCCTCATTCTTCTCTTTCTCTCTCTCTTTCTCTTTTACCTCTCGTTTCTATCTTATTATACTTGGAATCTACTTGTCGTCTTCTTATTCCCTTTCGTCTTATCTGACTTCTTTTTTTTTTCAATTCACCTTCTTGACGCAATCTGCTAAAAAGTTCCGGGATTTAAAGGTGTAAAAAGAGTTATTTGACATAGAATTCCCATTTAAATGGTTCTTGAAATTTTAAATTTATCTCACATTTTTAATATTTTATTTTTTCATGGAAGTATTTTTAATATTAAGGGCTCTTTCTCATTTTAAACATTTTTATATGAAATTTTTAGTTTTTTAATCACCATTGAAATTATCTTTTTTTTTTTGTTTTTTAAATTATTTGATAATTTTAAATAATTATTATTGTCAAAATAGGAAAATAATACCCCCCAAAAAACATTAATTTCGTTAGTTTGAAAATTCGGTAGATCCTCATCTTAAGTAGTAACAGACTTTTTAGTCAGACTGTATTTTTAGTATTTAAATAGAACTTCCAACGTAATTCCGTCGGAATTCCATCGGGGTTCCAAAGAATTTCCGATGGGATTCCGACGGAATTAATTAATTAATTTTTTAAAAAAATTTTAGAGTCCTAATTCTGTCAGAATTCCGTCGGAATCCCATCGGAAATTTTTTGGAACTCCGATGGAATTCCGACGGAATTACGTTGGAAGTTCCGGCAGAATTCTAATAGAACCTCCAGGGGGCACTTTCCGGTGAATCTTTCCAAGTGGGAAGACTAAAACTTTAAGTAGTAACGGGATTTCTAGTCAGACCAAGTTTTCAGTACTATTTAAGTAGTAATAAG